TTGAAAGATTCAAATAACTATGAATATTCTTCGCACAACCATTTTGCTAAAAACTGCGTAAAATTCGGTCTAATAGTTTTTTATTTTATTAATTTCAGATATACCTACTATCATATATTTTTATATACATAGGTATTTGGAAAAATGCAATGCATAAGATGTATTTTGTCGCCTGTCATTCAAAAAAGTAAAACTTAAAAAATAATAACGATAAATAATAGTTTAAATACATTTTTTTCCAAAAAAAAAAGGAGTTTTACCTTTAGGCTAAAATAATCACCTTATATAGCGTGGGTAATACTGGTAAGTGGTGATAGTATTTCCATTAATTCCATTATCCGGTTTCTGGTGATAAACATATCATAGAGTTCAGCTATACTTTGCCATTACTACCTAAACAACATGATGACATTGGATGATGATCGAATTTAGTTGTGTGGTATAGTGCTCATACAGCAGTATGAACTGGCTCCGTAATTTGCGACATATTAAAAACCTATTTCTGTGAAATACGGAGTTCACGTGTTGCAGGACGTTCAGAAATCATTCACTCTGAACATAAATAATCACAGTCCAATCCTATAATTTTATGTCCGAATCTGTGAGAGTAAAAATTTAAGGTATTAAAATATTAGCTCATATGAATTAACAGGCGATTGTCACATCCACCGAACCTGTTTCGAAGGTCGCAATATTTTTGTCGCAGGCTTTGGTGTATTATAGTTTATAATAATAATATTATGTAGGTACGCCGTGTTTTACAAATCGTTGTTAGATCCATCCCTCTACATACCAATAACATAAAATTCATAAAAATAATATAAGCTAAAAATCATTTCTATCAAAAAAAAACTTGTAAAATTTGGCCAAAAGAAAAAAGTATTTATTTTTAAATTTTACAATCCTAGTTAAAATTGGTCGCAATATTTAAATTAAAAATCAAAATCATTTTTTATATTGTAGTAATAATGGAATTGATACTATCACACCTAAAGATAAATTTCCGAGGTACTTCATAGGTTATAATTCATATTTTAAATTTAAAGCGAGAACAATTTTTTTTTTTTTTAATTAAAAAATTGTAATATTTTAAATAGGTATTAATTAAAAAACTAACAACACAAAAATATGTTTATTTTCGTAAAAGAAACATTTGTTATTTTGTACGCATATTTTAGATAAAAGAAACGAGAAAACAAATAGGGTGTTGAATCCTTCTAAATGTTGAAATATTAAGACATTGAAATAATAAATATGCGTAATACGCAATATTAACAGTTCGGTCTCCAATCATAATAATATGTTAAATATAACGACGGCATTCAACCCCGTGTACAATATTACATTATAATTGTGTTAGTGAAGATGTGGATTTTCTTTAAAGTATTATGTAAACATTTTATGAGATATTGGGATATAATAATATAAAAGACGATAATCGTTTCAATTAAAAACGTTTATTTTTGTTAATATGTTTTGTTCGTATTCAACATGATATTTTTAGCGTAAAAATATTGCGTGCAAGCGATGACGACGGCATTCACGACATAATATCATTGCACGATTTGCACGCGAAATATAGAAGTTGAAAATTGCGTACATCGTCATGATTGTTATATAATATCAAAGTACCTACGCTAATAACATTCTGTCTCGACAATGAATCCCTATTGGAGTTTATTGATGGTGTATAATATATACTGGCTGTAGGTGATTAACACACACTTTACGAGGAAATCGTATTGCTTAAGCCGACAAATCATGTACGATTTTCGTTCGTAACTTGTTGCCATCGAGTGCCAGCGAGGGACACGAACGATATAAAAATACATTAAACGATAATTAATCACTGTGCGCGTCGAACGTTTTTATATTTGTTTTTACTGATATATTTATAATTAATACATGCGTACATTAATCATCGCTTTAGGTTCAATAACGTTCCATGAATCATTAGTTTGACAATATAGTCGTCAAGAAAAATGCTGTATCAGTCATGTACTCTCAGGCATATGTGCAGCATGATATCTAATAATACATGCCCGGATTCAGTGGGGGGCGGTCACCCCTACTATCCCCCCCACCACGCGTTGGCTGCAATTCAATATGTATTATTTAAATGTAATATTTTATGTTATCCTTTGTAAATGTATTGTTATATTATTTAGTCACAAATCGTTGTATTTTATTTTAATAAGTAATGACACACATTTATAAATTGTTGATAACATAATTTAGAACCAACTGAGGGACGATGACCGTCGACTGTCGGCTGACGCGTGGTGGCTGAGCGATTCATAGGGTTTTGTTCTAAAAATATCTAAAAAATGTTTTCCATATTCGATTGTTTAAAATATATTATACATATTAATTATTGGTTATCTGTTCATTGCTATCCGCATAATAGCAAAATTTTTGTGGTGAATGACGACTGTACATTAAAGATTAAAGATAATTCTGTCAACAGTTCGACACTCGACAATCTTCGATACACACGCATTAGTGCATTACGTGTGTACCGTTCGTAATATCATACGTATTGATTGTACAAAAATATAATGTCAAAGATAAAAAATTTCAATATTACACATTACAAAAAAAAAAAAAAATGTATAAATATTGTGGAAAATAATGATCAAATAACATGTGAGAAAATTAATGATCCAAATTCTTTATCTTTAAACTATGAGTCATCTTTACCATTATCTAAAGAAAAAATATAAATTAAATATTTTTTTACCACAATCGTTTGAAATTAATTTAAATAAATTATTAGACATAGGAGATTTTTTAAACTCAAAATCTCAAATCAATGATTTGATTAAAAAAAAAAAAATGATTGAAAATCACTGGAGACCCATAAATAGTAATAATTATCCTTTTTCTACTCAGAAAAAATGTGGTAATATTGAAAAAAGATTCATAGAAAAATAGTTTTGGTTAGTTGTATCGAAATCTATTCGATTTATTCTGTATTTATTGTTCAGTTTTCAATCATACTAATACTGGCATTGGATCAAAAAATACAATGCCCTTTTAGTGTCTTGTAACCAAACCATTAACTAAATTTATTAAATTACTTGGAAAGGGTGGTTACCTAGAATCTCATAGCAGAAATATTTACCATAAAAATGTCATTCAGGATGGTAAATCATTTTTACATATTATTAGTAATACTTTAAATATACAGCTCACTACGAACAGATCAAAGAAAATAAGTCTCGGTTGAAACCAATAATTGATACATTGATATTTCTCGAGAATAAAAATACCGATCGAGGAAATCGTGATTATGGTAGTATAATTGATGATTCTTAAAAACCTACAGATATAATGGAAATTTCAGTATTTCATCTAGTGATGAGATTTAAAAAAACATCTTTTAATTTCCGAGTCTAGAGCCACTTACACTAGTTAAATGACATAGAATAAACTTATTTCTATTATGGGAAATTGAATGTTAAAAAATGTGTCGAAAAGAGTGAAGCGATCAAAATTTTACAGTAATATCTTCGACGAAACTACCGATATATCAAAAATATCTTAGTCACTGGTATTCGATATGTATACATATAAAAATGAAGTGTTCAAAGATTTTGTCGGGTTTCTAGACTGTCATAAAAAAAAAAACTATAAAAATACTGGAGGGGAAGTAGAACCTAAAATGACTGGTGAAATTATAGGAAATTCAATTTAAATATTTTAGAAAAACTTGATTTACCATTTGAAAAATGCGTTGGAATTACAACAGATGGATGTTCTGTTATGCTATCCAAAAAATGTGGAGCAGTTAAAACACTTAAAGCAAAAATGAAAAATTCAATCAAATGCATTTGTTTTTGTCATGTCTTAAATTTGTCGATTATGAAAGGATGCAAAATAAAATTCGTCAGAAATGCTTTCGGAATAATGATGGAAATTATAATTTTTTTTAACACATCAGCAAAAACAAAAAAAAATGTTCTAAAAGTATTTTAAAATCATTACTGCATTCATAATGTAAAACAAGATGGATGGGAAAATATGATTGTGTTTTATAATTTTTCACAGGTTTAAGTTCTATAATTGAGGCATAATACAAAATATTAGATTAGGATGATATAAATATTGCAACTAAAGTAACTTACTTATCTAAATAATTATCATCGTCTAGTGAATTTATTTTGACATTAATAACTGTTTCAGAAATGTTTACTGTAACATTACCGATCAGTAAATTATTGCAATCCAATAACCAGAATACATTTTTAGTTACAGTAATCATTAAAAATGCAATTTGTATTTTGAAAAAAATAAACGAGAAGATAGTCATAACTATTTCAACAAAATATTTAAAAAATATTTTTTAATTCAAAAATTTTGTTTTGATTTTATATGGTATAATAGTATGACATATTTAATTTTAGTACAGGTCTGTGTCTACATAATTAATATAGGTAATTAATGATTTTCTAAAAATGACAAAACATTTTTTTTCTACTTAACAAATATTATAATTGAATACCAGCTATAATATATTGGTGCTTAAATTGTAGCATTCATGTATCATTATAGTAATAAAAATAAATATCTAATTATCATACCTGGGCTTATACTCTTTGTCAGATTATCCATTGAAATAATTTAATTGAATGAATCGTAGGTCTCCGGTGGAGTCGAACAAAAAATATAAATAAAGCGAATTTGATGTTTTATTTTTTATTTTTATAGATTTAGTTGTCGGATCTTTTTCAAACACTAATTTATTTATTATTAATCGTTATCGTTAATATTCTATATACCTATTACGATATTGCATTCGTGATCACCACATGAAATTTTCTCGGAATACATATTTTATGTGAATTTAATTTGTTTTACAATTCAACGATAAATACAATCGTTCAATTCTTATAAATGCGTATATTATTTGATATTATATTAATTTTATTTTAGTCGTAACTTTGATTATACCGGTATGATATTTTCAACTCTAATTATTCATAATATATGTCCTACAGATGAATCGTGTTATTTTGGCGTCGTTCCTCTTAGCCGGCATTGCGAGATGTTACAATTATGATGAGGTATTGCGGTTGTCACTCATGTTCTACGAAGCGCAGAGGTCAGGTCACCTACCTGCCAACAACCGCATCCCGTGGCGGGGCGATTCTGCGACCACAGACAAAGGGCAGAACGGCGAAGACTTATCCGGAGGATATTATGACGGTAAATTTACAACTGCAGTAACGATGGATGATACCGCATCGGCTCCCGGTAGGCTCTAATGAGTCCGTATCGGCTCTGGGTATTTGACCATTCCTTCGGTTTAGTAGCCGTATTGCGTCCCATTTGTGAACGTAAACCATATTATTATTATTATTATTATTATTATAAATTATTACTCTTATACTTTATTATTATATATACATTGTAATTGTGGAGACATCCACCCTTTGTTGATATTTAATTATTTATCATATCTTTAACGCATCTATTACATTTCTTGGTGTTGTTATTCCGAGCAATCGGCGTAGCATTAGTCTATGTATACTATTTTATTATTACCCAGCCTGTGAATGCAATCCAATGGGGCTAACTGTTCATTAAGTGCCCTTTTGGTAAATATATCTGTAGTCAGTCCTCAGCATGTAAATGGGAAGGAAAATACTATTAATTAGAAGCCGGTTCGTCCATACCATTGATATCTGAGGGGAGACGATACGGCCACCTTCAAATGAATAGTGAAACCAAAGCGGACAAATGGGAGCCAATGCGAATACTCCGGTGACGATTACCACAAAACATTTTAGGCTTCAGTGCAATAGCGGGAATAACGGTTATTCATATAATAACTACATGCACAGTAAACTTTACGAACTATTCGCTCTAATTTTGGGTGACATGACGCAATATCATTTAGTGACCACAATAATTGCGCGTCAAAATTTCGACACAACGGTGAAATGGTGTATTCCAAGGTCATAAACGAAAAAGATTTTCGGTAGGAGGTCCAACATGTTTTATTAAACGGAAATATAAATTATACCTGAAACAACCGTCACAATATTTACTAATAAATTTTTTCTACTTTTTAATACCTATTTTAATTCAACAGCGTTTCGTGCCCAATATAGATACACCTATATGTACCTATAGCTACAAAGGTTTTGACTACAGAGACAAATATTAAATAAAAATACGTTTTGTATACGTGTACCTGCTGCTGGTAATAATACTGCAGTTTTTTTTTTTTTTGGAATATTCTTAATGATGATATTATGTTGGTGCTCTTGAGCACTGGCAGTTTAATGATAGAATTATTAAAATTATGATGTATATTATTACTATTAAAACGTGAAATAACTATGATTTTATTAGTTATTACTTACTTATATGTGAAAATCGCTTAGGAAATCTTTGACCAGAAAGAATGTCAAGGACTGCATTAGAATAATATAATCGCTATAAGAGTATAAAACGTCAGAATTAACAATAATAATAATTATTTTTTTTTTTTTGTAATCATGTATAGACTGTATAGTGTTGTTATATTCTTGCGTTATGACTTAGGATATATACGACATCGTGTTATTTACGGAGAAGACATACGCTTTTTATATAATTTAATAATTATTTCATCAACATATTTAAATTAAATGCGTTATCAACATTATTTATAATAAAATAATAATATACATTATAAAAACGACTACGGTGATAAATATCGACAATCATAAATAAGTATTTAAACATACTTATTAATAATTAACACAACTGGTTAACATTCAGCACATTATTATTGGTAGCATAAACGGTAAAATTAGTTTTGTTAAATGGCGGTTTAGGCAATGAAATTTTCACGGATGTACCTAATGCCTAACGTCTTAACCATTTGTCTAATTAAATATTAAATTTTGTAACTTTGCAAAATAATTGGTTTTCTACAAATTTCAGCTAAATTTTGATCACTGAGTATTTTTTATTGAATTCATTTTTCATGTTACATAATTAATGTCACAAGCGTTGAAGGTTTATTAACAGATACAAAGTTACGTTACTGCTACTAATATTAGTTGTTTTTCGAAGGCATCGTTTATAAATTATTGTATTCATGGACATGTGGCACATCAAATTATTTCATGATAAATTAATTTTGATTGTCGGCAATAGTGGCTATTTGCTCCGCGTGCGTCTGTTAAATTTTATACGTGAATCAATATTTATTTTTATTGGAAGACACGTTTCATTATTTTATTGTCATAAATTTTATGTTTATACAAATTTATAGTATACATTTATTATATACACATTATATAGAATGTAATATACAGATGTTACTTACGATAACTAAATTGAATAATCTATATTGTTATGTATTTTTGATAATTTTTTTTTTTTAATTAATCTCGATCTTATGTATGATAAATTTATTAAAAACAAATTAATATTTACAAAAATTAAAAATGTATTATATTATAAGTTAATTCGATTTGTCAGCTATTTCTAATACAGTTTTTGGTCTATATAATATAAGATAAATACATAAATATTATATTTAAATAATTAAATATTATGTATACAAATCAGTGTCGTATTACCCCTGACTGAGGAGCTGTAACACTTCCACCGTTTGTACTTTACTATAAAAGTAAATCGTACACCTATTCTATATATAATAATAATAATAATAATAATAATAATAATAATGATAATAAAAATTCGAATAAAAAGTGCAGAAGCCCGATTTTTAGTTAGAGATAATGAATTTAAATTAAATCTAACAGATTAATAAATCTTATTGAATAACACACAATATTATAGTATGATAATATAGAAAACAATACAGTTTATCAGAATTAATAACGTTTAGTTATAATATTTAATGAATAAAAAAAAATAAAAAATCAAGTAAATTATTTGTTAATAATAATTGCAAAGTGCTATACTTTATAGATGAGTTTGAGCTTTTTGTGAAACTAGTATTATAAGAGATTAGACGTCATAGAAAAGCGAGGGAGATCTGTGATGATGAAGATGGAGTTAAAACTGAATATTTTCTAATAAATACAGAAAATTAATTTTAATAATTGATAAGGTGAGTAGAGATGATATACTCGCCAATTCACGTACTAATTACCAAGGTTCAAGTCTAGTTGAATAAAAATTTGATCATAATTATGGGGTTTCAAAGAAAGATTTAATTAAAAATCTACGACTTTATTCAATTGAGACTTGCATTCTGAATTAGAATAAAGGTCCCAAATAATGAATGTATGCTTTAAAGTAAATGTAACTATAGAGTCATTTAAAAAGCTATACAATATTTAGTGGCGTTAATATAATATAATGATTAGTAATTATAATAACAATATTTAACAAATAATTTAAGAAAATATTGTTGACACTTAAAGGTAATATATATATTAACTGGTGTTAGTATTCTTGATGAATGATATATTTTTATTTAGTATATAATATCATCTTAATCTACGTAAATTATCATATTGTATATACACGGTGAACGAAATATTAACAGATATCACACTATTATTGTTTTAGCTGGTGATTTTGTGAAATTCGGCTTCACTATGGCCAGCACGACAACTATTTTGGCATGGGGATATTTAAGTTATAAAGATGCATATGAGGAAGCTAGTAAGTATATCTAGTGTTTTTTGGTTTCTATATAATAACTTGCTATCACTATCTGTATCAAAACCTATACCATTGAGGATATTTTAGACATTTTATGTTTTCAATAAAAACACATAATTATTAAAAATTATTATTACACAATGCTATAACATTAAAATTGAAATAATTTCTAAAAAATGAATCATATACCATTTTTTTAATTTTTTTATTATTTAATATAGACGAATGGGAAAACGCATTAGGATCAATTCGTTGGGCCGCGGAATACTTTATCAAGTGTCACGTTAGCGACTATGAGTTATACGGACAGGTGGGTGACTTTAGTCTGGACCAAGGTTTTTGGGGTCGACCAGAAGACATGAACATGTCTAGGCCGTCATACAAAATTGACAAGAATCGACCAGGTAAGAAATCTATTTTGTGCACTAATCAACACCGTACGGTTTATTGAAACCACAAAATAAAACCATGAAAAAATATGAAATTCAAAATCAAATTTCTATATTTTGCTATAGAGGCATAAGTTCTAATTTTTTAATTACAAATTTAGATACATAATTTAACTGAACAGGTATTTTGGTGTAGTATAATCATACTTATATGTTATATGATAAATTTAATAAATTAAATTTAGATCATAATTATCAAAAACTGTGTATACAAATAAAATAAAATTTTTAAATGCAGTTTTTTGATGAATTCATCACGGTTTATAATTTTATATTATATATTTGGTCAAATAAAAATGTGGTATGTTAAATTAAGTGAAAAGAGTTTAGATAGTAAGTAAAAATTAGACAAGATCTAAATATTAATATTTTTACAAAGAAATTACTAACTAGAACATAGAAAATTGAATTAAGTAACATAAATAAATAAAAAAAAAAATTATTTTCTGTCTAATAAGAAAACATGGCAATTTTGCACTCTGCGTATCCCTATGTATAACCCAGCGATCGAGATAGAGTAAAATTGTATAAAAAATAAATAATTTTTTATGTATACATTTAATTATTTAAATTTAATTTAGATAAGAATAATTTGAATTAAAATTATTATTGATATAGACCTATAATTAAAACTTATGTCTAGTGAAATATGACATATTAGCAAAATAAACAAATTTGGTCTTTATTATCATGGTTTTTTTTCTTTTTTTCCGACTACCGTTTTTCGAATTGCGTTCTTATTGAGCTTAGATATATCATAGTATGTTATAATATATATACATGTATTATATTTATTACCTAATTAAATTTATCCAGGTTCCGATTTGGCCGGCGAAACTTCCGCTGCTCTTTCTGCCGTATCAATTGTGTTCACCAAAATCGATCCCAATTTTTCAGCTACTTGTTTAAGTCACGCTAAGCAATTGTACCTGTTCGCTACTCAATACAGAGGGCTGTACCACGACGCCATCAAAGGAGCGGCGCAATATTATGAGTAAATTATAATTAACACTTCATACTCGATTTAGTTTATTCGATCTAAGGCCAATGTGATCAGATTCAAATGCAAAAATTAATTTTTGTTTTCTAGATCAACGGATTATGGTGATGAATTAACGTGGGCCGCGGCATGGCTGTACAAGGCTACAAAGGAATCGCAGTATTTGGAAGACGCTGAATACATGTACTCAAAATATAGACTCAAAGAACGACCGAACGAATTTTATTACAACAAAAAAGTCGCAGGCGTACAGGTGAAGAATCCATAATGCTGTATAATATATTTTATAAAATTGTAAAGAGCACACGGAACGTTTTTCATACCGCAGATTGAATGATTTGTTTTAAATTAAATTTTACGCAAGAATAAAAGAAACACTAAGCGTTGATTCCATTATCTTATACAAGTGTGCAACTAGGTAGGACTTAGTGGAGCTATGCACTTCAAATAATTTCATAATTCCCTCTAAATAAAATTACATCATTATTTTACTATATTAGATAATAAGTTTCGAAGTGTTTTTATCAGCATGGCAAAATATTAGCTAAGAAAAATCTTTGAGAATATGTAGCAGGGCTGTTTCTGAAATTTGGCTATTCTGAATAATGAAAAGATATCGATTTATCAAAAAAATATAAAATTTTTGGAAATTACAACTTTTAAAGACAAAAAATTGATTTTAAAATAAAATAAAAATTCATATTATTAAGTATTTGAATTTCTAAGAGATATGTTTTCACACAGATTAATAAAGTTCTATAGTTTCACCTAGTCATTTGCCCATTATGTTTATCGACGTAAGCTAATTTAAATTATCGCCTGTTAAGATGTTAATGGACTTTAATGTCTTATGTAAGTAGTTTAATACAGTCAATTGTTTTTATGTTTGACCGTAAACGTGTTTATGGTGTAAGGACTAAAATGATTACTAGACTGTTTGATTGTATTCTGTAGTACCTATATAAGAGTTGTTAAAAGATCGTTACCACACGTGCACGCTAATTCTATCACTCTATGGTAATTAAGTAACGTTTTTTTGTTCATTACACTAAATTTTTTTTTGGTTATATTATAAAAAATCTAATTTATTTAAAACAATTCTAAATTTGGTTCAAAGTTTAATTCAATTCGATCATCCTGTTATTTTATTTTCATTTTTTTTCTTCGATTTCGTAGTACGCGATTATAATAGTTATGTAAATTTTTTGCAAATCCCATATTGTTAAATCAAATTTAATGTGGTTACTAGAATTTATATTTTAAAGAGTGATTGAGTATCTAAAAAAAAACAGTCTGTATCGAATCCCGGTAACACATAAATAAAAACAATTATTACATTATTAAACATTAATAATACTTTAGTTCTGGAAAGTAACTGAGTAAGTCTAACTCTGTGACATTGATTGTAGGCTCTTCTAGCCGAACTGACTAATCAATCCGAATATACCGAAGCAATTCAAAATTTTTGCGACTACAATTTATACGTTCAAAAGAAAACACCCAAAGGACTGTTGTACATCGAAAAATCTGGTACACTATGTCACGCTGCGAACATCGTATTCTTGTGCTTGCAGGTATATAAACGTGACTATTTTGGCAGAGGTTACTCGTGTGGTAAAATATCAATCTTGTAATAAAGTAAATTGTTTATTTTTTTTTTGTACTTTTCTTACGTAGGCTGCTGACATCGGCATAATGTCAACGCAATACAGAGAATTTGCCAAAGAGCAGATCCACTACATTCTGGGAGATGGAGGACAAAGCTTCGTTGTAGGATTTGGTAAAAACTACCCATTACAACCACACCATGCAGCGAGGTAATTGAAAACATTGATATTATATACTAGTGGTTTTTAGGGATTTAAAAAAAAAAACATAACTCACATAAAATAGATAGCTTTATTTATTCACATTATTTATTGCACATGACAGTTACATATTATTATTTCTAGTGGTAAACGTCATATCGTTTAGATGTTATTTGGTGAGGTTTGAGTTTTAAAAAAATACATTTTTCTTACTTATTTATAGTAATACAATCGGTAAATTACAGTAAAAAAACTCTTGCGCCTTAAAAGATTACAAGCATCAAATTTTATAGTTGTACGTATGTGTAGTTGCTTTTACTTGGACAACTTATATCTAATTCTCATTCAATTTTTTTTTTTCAAATACTATATCATTATAAGAAACTAACAAACTTGAAATAGTTTTGATTATTAGTATCATTTTTTTGTACTAACTTACGTAAAAATGTAATTAAATAAATAAACTTTATAAATAAAGAATTTAGCAGTCATCAATTTTAATATACAATATACTAGCTACTTGCTATAGACTAAATCTTAACTATTCAAAGGTATGTACATATATATTTAAGTATTCTATTGGTTTTTTAGATAGAATAGTATATTTTTTGTATTTCTTTGTTTTTTTTTTTAAACTTAGCACCCTGTAGAATCTTTGCATTTAAGTCCCAAAATTTAAAGATTGTCTATAATCTTAATTGTTTAACTAAATTTCAAATTTTTTTTTTATAAAAAAATATCTTTAGATTAAGTAAATATTAAAATTATAAAATCAGTTTTTATATATTGTAGCTATAATTACTTATTTTCATAAATATGTTTCAAAGGTATGCTATATTTTTAAGAGATTATCGCTATTCAATTATAACCATTAAGGCAATAATATATAATACTAATTTATTAATATGAAACCATTCTATTTATTATTAGTATGTAGTATGCCATATTTTGTATATGTATTATATCAATATTATTGTAATCATATAGAGTTTTGAGTTATAGAAAAATTAAATATTATTCATTTATAACTACAAAAAACTAAGAATATTAAAAAAAAAAAAAAAAAAACTATACACGACAAGAGGAGATGTACTGGCTTCCACTACTCTCGTTCGACTCTGTTACCGAGATTATATATACACAGAATCGTTATTTCTGAAGATTAGGTCAAGTAATAATTTTTCAAGAAAAGTAGCAAGTCTCGAGTATTGAAAGCGAATTCGTAGGTCTCGTCCATCCACTATCTCGTAGTTGATTTACAATAAATAACTATACCAATAATATTGCTACCGTCTTATTCACTATAATGTTGTCGATTTGCAGCTCATGTATGGACCGTCCGGCACCATGCGACTGGGAAGCGTACCGGAGCGTCAAACCAAATCCACAGGTGCTGTACGGTGCGCTGGTCAGCGGACCCGACGAGAACGACAACTACAAGGATCTGAGGGAAGAATACATCTACAACGAGGTGACGTTGGACTATAACGCGGGCTTTCAATCCGCCGTCGCCGGGCTCAAGTATCTGGAACTGCAGGCCAGCCGGAACAAGGGGCAGCTGAACACCAATAACGATTTTCTGTTCAACGGCAACTGGACCGACGTGCCTGCCGCCGCACCCAACGCGACGGAAGCGTGATTTTTCCGGACCACCAACAGTACGCCGAATCACTGAATTTCACTTCTGTTTCTTAAAATTAAAATTAAAAAACAAATGTATATGTTTTTTTTGAACCGGAGACGACATACTCGCAGACCGCGAAACACATCACTGCCGCACCATCACAATATTCGAAATATTATTATAATTATTATTTTAATAGATGATGGCGAAAATTCACGTATACATATTATGCGTAAGTGTGGTACACGGAGAGAAGTGAACATAAATTTTGGTTTTATGAGCTTTCTCTGTATTTCTATTTTTTGTGAACTTAATTATTTATATGGAAAGGGAGGGGGTTAACGGCATCTGTGTGGTACATTTTTGTCGTACCACCGTTTTGAACACTATATAACGATATAATACACTGTCACATCACAACTAGAGATGAGTTGAATTTAAATTTTCGAATAATCAAATCCAAACATAGTTTTTTTTTTTTTTTTTTTTTCAATGTTCGAGATCAAACTGGAGTAACTTTCACATATTTATAAAATTCAAACTTTTATCAAATAATTACATGATATTAAAATTTAAAATCGTATTATAAAATAATAGGACCACATGGAAAATACAAGAAATAAAAATTATATTCTAGTTTATTTATATTAATACTAATATCGAACTCGATTTCGAATATTACTTTCAAACGAACTTTAAACCGTTCAAATATCTCAAAGTTCTTAATGTCCGAGATCCCATCTCTAATCACAAAAATATTATCCGTTACGTTTGGTCATTAATTCGGTTTTATATATTATCTACAGTAGGTAGATAGCAGATGCACATAGAACATACCGCCGGCGCCAACATTTTTGAAATGTTGGTATTTTTACAATAGGTATCAATGACTCGTGTGCCATGACGCCCAACATAGTATAATAATGTATAATATTTTGGGTGATAGATTGATGTGCTGGTGTGTATTACGTTTCACATTAAAGATTTCGTGGAAATTCACTGCCCAGACTCAATATTCTGATACATGTAGACACTTCCGTAAGTTATGGATACAACACGTGTGTTGTAAGTAAGAGTGTATATTTTTTCGTTCCAACTCAAAGATATATTGTTATTATTATTCAAGTCTTCGGTGATATCAAAACATGTCAAATTATTTTTATTTTGTGTTATTTATGTGTTGTAGTAAGACTTTAGAGTAAATATACTATAAATATATATTTTATTTAAACTGAACTTATGTGTTTTTGCGCTGCGTGTTCTTACATCCAAGCTCACATATTTATTTTTATGTTGGTCATAATACTATTGCTGTGTCAATTAGATACGGCAGATTGAGGCCGTATTTAAGGAGACAACAGTTCCTTGTTTCTCGGGTCAAAAAATTTTAATGAAACAGTTAATCTTTTTGAAATTTTTATTATGTTAATCCTCTCATATCTCACACACACACACACACACACACACATACATTTTCAGCAATTAATGTTATATTTTTATATTTTTTTAATTTATTACCATAATTTACAATACATGTTATCATTGGTCTTAGCGTAAATGCATTAATTCGTGACCGTAATCGAAAGTGATCCATTATTAATTATACTTTGAAATCTCTAAATACCAGACACCCTAGGTAACTAAAATTTAGTTTTCTATTCTTGAATGTCTATTATTTAGAGGGTTTAGTTTGTTTCCGAAAAAAAATGTTATCATTTGGAGGTGCCCGCTATTTAGAAGTATTCATTAGTTGACGATTTTAACTTAAATGTAATAAATATATTTTCCGAGACATAATTCAATGAGATTATTTTTTAATCATATAATTTAATTAATTATAAGCATTTTTTATTGCCTCTGGGTGAAATAATTCATAAATAAAGCCCAGTCAAATATATAGGTAGTTACCATTATCACCATATCCAGGACCAAAATTTTAGTTTTTAAATAGTATATGTTTATTAAAGGCAAATTTTAAAAATAGCGCTGAACGATGAATAGCTTGACGCACACTTCAAATTGGTCAGGTGTAGTGCCACAATAATAGTACACGGTAGAAAGATGCAGGTAGAAATGTTTAAGACATAGCTACGAACTTAGCGCATCTGTGGCGCAACAAATTATCAAAACAATATTAACTTCAATATCTAATTGTATGATAAATCATTTATGGTTTATTTTTTAAAGTTCAGTGTAATATGAGTTTATACATATTAATTATGCCATATTAATAATTTATTAATCAGTTTTCCCTCACTAAATATATAAAAACTGTCTTTACTAGTAAAGTAACAATTAAATTAAAATATGATACAGACCAATTATGTACAAAAAAAAAAATATATAATATATTATATATAATAATTATTTATATATTATACATAAATATTTTTATCTGAATCTATTTATTTAGCATGATTTAAACAGTCAGATTGGTAGCTTTTCTTAACCAAGTTCTAACAAAAAAATAAAATGATAAACCGAAATATTCGTGTATGCAATTTTCATGTCGTCGTATGTAATTCGTGATGTCCCCCATTTATATAGTTTAAATTGTATTTTGTTCACAATAATTATGAATCACTAGTATCACGGCTAGGATAGCGTTAGAATGTACAAATTATTCAGATTTTTACACCCCCTCCGGCCTTAAACTAATAAGTATTGAAACTTTTAAGTTTAAAATATAAATGATTATTATTAATTTGTATTGTATAGCATTCAAATTACTATCTGTGTATGTAATAAGTGGGCTTCTTGATTTTTCATTTCTTAATACAAAACGTCATTAAGCCATTTAAATTTTCAAACATTTAGTTTATATTATTTATGAAGTAATAACTTACATAATTGTTGTTTCACTAAGTACTTCGCCATAATTTTTTTTTTAATAAATTCATTTTTATTAGATAAAATAGTATACTCAAAAGTTCATATTATTTTATAAAATATTGAACTGTGCCATAAAAATATGTATTGTTCCACAAATTTATTTGAATAATTGTTACGTCAAATTCATTATATGATTTTTAGAAATATTGAATTGAAAAAAAAATAGGTGGTTATAATTACGTAATTAAAAATATGATAAAGAATTAGATTTTTAATTTATGAAAAAATAACGTATTTTATAAAAAAAGTATGTAGTGGATTAATAATTAGGTATTATCAAAGACTTTGAAATTATGAAATTATAAAAATTATCTGTAAGTTTATCATTATTAGAGAAAATTAACAAGAGTACAAAATATATAAGATATTATCGTCAAAAATACTAAATAATACTAGTATAAACTATAAACTGAGTTTACAAATTACTTTAATACTGTCATAGTGTCTAATCACTATCTATAGTTATTATAGTTAAATTCATTAGTATAACTTATTATAGTTCCAAAATCGTTCATCAACACTGAGTCTACTCTAATTTAAAAAAAAAAAAAAAAAACATTTTAATCGCATTCAATCACTTGTATAGTCTCTAAAAAAAAGTAATTTAAAATCATTCTACAATACAATTTCGATTTAACGATAGGCAAAATTGTATTATAATTGATTGTTCTGTATGCCCAAATAAATAGGTACATACGAAAGGATAATCTCGACAACAAATCAAAGTCGTAGACATTTATAATCTATTTAAGGCCAGTAAAACAAAAAAATTAACGATGTACAAAAGAAAGCTAAATTTATATACGTATAATAATGTTAAAAATATAATGGGATGGTAAGAGCGCATTTTTATAGTTTCAACCGTTTATTTTTCATTGGCTACTTTCGCATGTTATGTTTAAATATTAAATATAAAATAAATATTATAAAATCGTTCTGGACGTATCAAAACAATGATATTACATATTTTTATAATGAATCGATAGTCGGAAAAATTATTATCATGTGCTGATATTTGTAGTAGAATTATACGCGTAGTATTAATATAATACTTTTAGGCAAGTTGTTATTTATATTATATTTAAAAATATTTCTATTATGGTTTTATCATGCAATAAAAATTGCATGCATATTGTATTATTTCGACTTAAAACGCAATCGAGTGTACATAGGCAGGTAATATGTGTTCACTTGAAATATTCGCCAAAGACGAAGAACACAGTGCAATTTATTATTTGGCTACATAATAATAATAATATGAATTATAATATTTGTAGATTGTGCCTATACAGTGTGTCGCTGGAGAAACGGGCCAGGGTCGACAGTTGTCAACGGGCAATTATTGTGTTCAAATGCAATGATTTTACGAAAAATAATAACAAAAACGACACGACGACAAATTATACAACTCGGTGCGTTCGAAATGTTTACATTCTCCATTACAGATAAGACATGGTGTCACAATATTTATTATGGTACAGGTACACGTATGTTATCAAGAGTGATTGCCACGGGTAAGCGATATATGTAGCATATAATTTTAGGTTATTTTTTGTTTTTGACAGCAACTGATTTACCGGGCTTATTTCAAAATAACAATATGCCTAATTACAATTTTTCCTACTACGTGTCTATTATAGTTTCTAGACCTACCAATATTGTAACTGTACATGGGTTTATGTGGCATGGCTAAAATCCTCAACGACTGTGATTTATTCGTGTTATTTAATAATAATAAACACAAGTCTATTATTGGTAATTTAGTCGAATTATTGTGCAGAATCCACCATAGAATGTGTACAATAATTAAGATGTGTAAAAAGTAATGAATACAATACCGATAAAAAACTTATATCATAGTCTTACATATTATTACGTAATATAAATAATATTTACCAATAATTATACATAAATACCTATGTAACGGATAAAATTCGAAAGACGGATAATGTATATGTTATCCAGCTATAAGGTAAACACTACGCAACATATGAGATAAAGTAAAATTATTACTTATAAAACGTTTATTTCATAAATCATCTATTTAATTTGTATTTAAAATACATGCTTTGATAAAATAACAATTGTAGATAATGGTTAGCCAACCATAAGAAAACTTTAAGTTAAATGTAAAAGTAAATGCTCACCAATGTAAATAAAAAGCAGGGGGAGAACTCCAGAATTCTAAATTTCACGCAAACTCAAATTATTCTAGTAAAATATAATTGATTTTGTTTTTGAATTTTATATTGTATAATTGAAATATTTTAATTTAGACCCTAGTAATACGAATACTCTATTCATACAATATCGGCTAATTAATAAACTAATTAGATTTTTTCAAATTATACATAAAGTGGATAAATTATACGCTATGATATGAGTTATGATTGTTATGTATAATGATGCATTACTCAGTTATTACTAATATGTGCACCACCCGTTTTTTTGACCTTACCATAACATAATATGTTATATTATGTTTTATTTTATTGTTATTAATTTAATTGAGTACTTAACTTCTAATATTATGCTAATTATTTAAAATCAATGCATACTAAAGAAGTAATATAGAAATATTACACCGAAATTTCGAACACGCAGTGTATCAACGATAATCATACTATATAATTACATGAAACATTCAAATCATTCTGATTGTAAAATTATTATTTTAACTTATCTTCTATAATAACTGGTATGA